ATTGTAAATCCCGTTTTAGGTTAAGGAAGCCTACGGTTAGCAAAGCTATATCATTGATAGAACAGAAAATAAAAGATTTGTGAATACCGACTTATATTTCTGTAATGTCCTGGTAAACTAATGGTCCTGTTAAATGAAATTTTTGTCAAAATAATAAAATGTATACTTTGTGTTTTGTTATCAATTCTGAGGTATCACCAATGAACCGACTTCTCACTCGCGTTATTTTGCAACGAGATCATTTTTTTATCGCAATTTGAGTCTTCTTTGAGGTGAGCAATCTACTGCTTCAAGTGTGAGTTCGTTGAAGCTTCCAAGGAATATAGAAATCACCCAAGAAGAATTTTATGAAATTGCTAGATTTTCTAGAGTTCGCGCAGCAAAAGATTGCACATATGTTCCCATACAATCACCAGATTTAATAGTGTTCTTCTGTACATAGTGACTATCTTGTGAACTATCTTGATGAAAAGTTTCTCAATAAATTAATTAAACACAAGTATCCTTTCCTTTTTTAACAATCAATGACTTTTTTCTTCAAAATAAATCTTTATTGTGCAACACACTGATTCGACGTGCCAATTACACTCATCATCATATGTTAGATAGGCCTAATTGACATGATCCGTCTGAAAATAAAAAAAAATCAACAATTTTTTGGGATAGTAAATAAAATGAAAGTTACGTAGAAATAAGAAATGAAATTCATTAAAAAATCAAGTATAAGTGAAAAGATATATAAGTAGTAAGTAGAAACAATAAAAGTAGCGGGAGAAACCTTGCCAAAACATATTAACTTAAGCAGATATTTTTACATTGTATTTCATCAAAAAGAAAAAATACAATCAAAAAAAGAAATTCCAAAGTGAGAACATACTTATACATTGTCACTTTAAGGAGATTATTCTAGAATGTTTTCTAGGTCCATTATCCAAAATTAATTTTATTTTAGCGAGGACATTGTCATAAATGTTTGTGAAAAGATTGATTTTAACATTAATAACCTGTTAGAATGATTAATACCATGTTAGAGTCAAATCTTTTTACAAACATTTATGACAATATTCTTTCTAAAATAAAAATACCATAAAAATAATTTTTTGAAGAAATATATTTTCATGATTGTTACAAAACAAAAGAATACTTGCATAATTATTATGATGATTATTATATAATTATTATTCACGTGACAATCACATTTTTATCTGTTTAAAATTTCCTGAACTTTGGAGTTTTTGTACAATTTGTTTTGCTGTTGTATTTAAAATACATCACTCTCGTTTCATGGGACTTCCCACACTCCTCTCAGTAAAATTTTAATCGATGATTTGGACTTTATTCTGTTCAATGTTTAAGTCAATTTACTTTCTCAAATTACTTCTTCAAATTTAATTATTTTCTTAGGGCCTTTTATTTTCTTAATTTAATTGTAAATTATACTCTCTAAAATTTTGTTTAGGACGTGAATAGTATTTAGAAATTTATTTTGATACCATAATAGTCTGGTCATCGGAGAAATGTCTCAATGTTGTGTAATTTATGAGAAATAGGCAATAGAAATTAATGAATTCATTTTCAATGATATCCTCCATAATCATGTCAAAAATTGTAATGTTTTTTCTTTCCTTACCCCAGTTATGATTTCAGAATCGGTCATTTTTAGTAAGCATAATTTCCATTATAATTTTGTTTAAAAAACAAACAATTGTAATTTAAATTTTCTTCATCTCTCTTCAGAGCTTTATATTTTTATTAAATATGTTTCCCTTCGCAAAAAGCACCGAGCTATCGAAACCTTCAATAGCGATCCATTTTAATCCCTACCTACGACACGGGAGCACCATTTACTTTACATTTAACAACATTTTTCCTCTCCACAACGAGGGATACAAGTCTGTTTCCTCACGTGTAAAATTAACGTCTCTTTCCCGCTTCTTCCTCTCATTTTGAAACTCCTACACACACAAAGTACGACGCAATAAAACAAACCTTTACTCGCACACAGCTCACGCCGAAGTAAACTGCAACACATAACAACGAATGAAGTGAAAAACGCCTGACACTTCCATTACCAAAACACATTCGAATTCGCGCGCAAAGAGCGCGATTGACTCGAAAATGCGGCATTGCCGCTCGTGAAAGAGCAATCAGCCAGATTATTTATCAGAAAGACATCTGTCTGATATTTTAACATGAAATACCTTGGTGAAACGCAAAATAAATTTCAAGCACTCTTATCTTACGGATAAAATATCTGTCGGATTAGTATTCGGAACTTTATCAGGCAACGGTGAAACGGGCCCTAAATGCTGCCTATTCTGGTATAATTGATCAAAATGCAATTATCCTAAACAACAATTTTTAAAAAAATGTTCGTTTTCACCTTATAGAAAAATCGAAAAACAAGTCCTCTCGTGGCTCAGAGCGAAGTCGCTTGCCTTGAAAGGCCAAGAAGGTCCAGGTGCGATTCTGACGATTTACGGACGTTCTCATGTGAAATTTGTTCCCACGAAATTAGTTCGAATGCTTCACATGGGCTAGTCCAACCTCTGTGAATTGACCTAAACCCTACCCATCCTCATTCCTACAAAATTCTGATCGCAGGGCAGAAATGCAGAGCGCGTAAGAAAGAGCCGCGTATACGGGGAAGCGGCTGGCGTTCCTCTTCCTGACACGACCTACGGATTGTAATATATTCTATAGTATATCACTATAGGCTTAACGGAGGATTACTATATATTTACAATTTATAATAATAAAATTTAAAATAATTTTTATTAATAATAAAAAAGTATAGTATCACTTTAAATGCTTATTTTACTTTTTTTAATTCTTATTTTGTCTATTTCTACAGTTTTGCACGACTGCTTAATAATGACAGATGCACAGGTCTTAAACAAAACAAACCAGAAAGTATGTAAACCCGACGTTATCTGGAATTATCTATACCGGACCGATTATTTTGAGAATTTCATAGAGATAAGTTTCAGAAACATTGTGTCCAAATTTTGTGGAAATCCCTGATAGTGTTTTGTGGGTTAATACACCACAATGAGATCAACAATTCTCCAAAAATATTGTTTTAAGAGACCAGTTAGTGTTGCCCTTCTCTATCATTATCTTTTAAAACAACACACTCTATAGGACTTCTCAATTCAGTGTGATAGTATTTTTTACTTTATTCTTCCACATTGCTTTTGTTTTATTATTTTGAGTTCAAAATATTCTGATCGTGTTCCATGACTTTTCTCAACAATGATGTGTATTTTCGGAAGTAGAGGTGGAAATCATAATATACGTTATGATGCTTAGATATTAAACAAAAACATTCGGTTGTTTTCACACGATGTTCTAATACCTCGCGTTACCCAAGAATTGTTTTTCCGTGAAATGTTTAAGTTTCTTTTTCTGAAGAGGAAAGTACGTGTTAAAATGAAATGAAAGCATCGAAAAATGAATTATATTATATTATTTATTGTGTCAGTATCCGCATTTCTTGTAATGGTAAGAATTTGTGCATCGTGATGACTGTACCCTAAATATTTTATTGCAATTTCGTATCTCGCCTTTGGATGCATGACCCGGATCTTTTGGACCCGGCGGCACATTTGTATCTGAATTTCTTTATGACATTTACATTTTATAATCCCATCTCCTTTCAATGTATAAATCAAAGTTTTCTTTTCCACATTTTAATTTGTTTTGAGCATGTGGGATAGTTGTTATTTTTTGTCTTTATACCTCTTTTACATAACCCGGAGATTTTAGACACGGGGACATATTTGGCCCATTTTTATATTTAGATATATTCAATGAGTATCTTTAGGCCATGTATTATGGCGTCTGAGGTTAATAATGAAATACAGACTCTTATGGCGACAGTAATGCCAAACGTGGCGCTTTTCTGCTGTATTGTAGGAATCGAAAATTACGCGCTCGGTGGTGACAACTAATCCCGCAATGGAGCGGAGCGCCAGTTTAGTGCTCAAGTATTTTATCTGGAACCTTTCCAATTTTCTAAAATCGTATTTTCCTCCCTTCCACAAATCTAAATCTATTCCTAAGAGACTCCAATACACAGGGACGTTTCTGTTTAGCTTCTCACGTCCTGTGTGCTTCGAAATGTCATAAGAAATTAGGAAGAAATATTAATTTTAAAGTGCACCATTATTTCAATACAATATCCAAACTTCAAACCAACTACATGCAGTCTCAAAAAGGCCAAGCCACGTGTTTCCTTTTTAACAGTAGATAAATAATAAGTTTGGATTACCTAACAAAATATTTAAAATTGCTTTGATACCAAAAGAAGTCGGGAACAAACTGAATTAATGCACGGGAAATCGAGCTGCTTCGCGCCATATGCGCGGACAGTTATCTACCGGTAGGCATTGCGTACGAATTCCGTTGGAACATGTAATTATAGTTAAATCGTCATGTGCTCTCGTGGCTCAATGGCGATGTCACTTGCGTTTCGCTATTGAGGTTTCGGGTTCGAGTCCCGTTGAATCCCCTAGAATCTCATGTGAAATTTGTTACGACAAAAACGAGTTAACATGCTTCATAGGGGCTAGTCCAACCCTTCTGAAGCGTCCTCAACCTTATTCCTTCCCAATTCTGACCGATAGATGACGCAGGGCGAGCGCGAGGACCCTACCTATCGGCGTTTCCCTGACTTTACTACCCAGCGGCACCTAGTGGGTGCTGGCTGTGTAATGAAAGGAGGATTACTCCAAAGTGCGCTCAATCGCATAGGTTGAAAATGCTAATTATAATTTGGTTTTTAGAATATAAACATCTTACATAAATTGGAATTTCAATTATGAAAAATTGAGAACGTTTTACATCCTGAACTCCTTATAAATGAGAATTTTTAACCTGTATCCACATATTATTTTGTTTTTGTTTCCTATATGTTCAGTATGACTCAATAGGAAACTTTTGGATAAGCCAAAATTTGTACATTGCATTGGGTTCTAAATTGAAAATACACATTGTAAAAATTATATTCTGGAAGTATAAACATAGATCAACATTTTATTCATATTTTATTATAACATAATGTAAAGTATGAACATCACAGCTGTCAACACATAAAATATGTATTTTTCATAACTAAACTGTGTCTGGAATATTTATAACAAAGATAAAATTTATAAGTCAGTAAAACAAAACACCAAAAAAGATAACTATAAATTAGGCATCTAAACCCAAATCCTCCAGTAATTTGTCAATAATTTTCAATTTTTCACTTGCTTCACTCATTTCACTGTAACCATTTACATCACTACTAATATGGTATCGAATATCATCCACAACTGGAATACTGTCAGTTTCTTGTCGCCCTCGAACTTCTTGTGCATCTTGAAGAATGATTTCATGAAGAGAGGCATCATCAATCATCTAAAAGAGAGCAACAATATTGATAAAAAACTGAAAATCATACATATATACATACATATATACATACATACGTATGTATATGTATATATGCACGCGCGCGAACACACGTGCGGGCGCACACACGCCCCCCCCCCCCCCGCACGCGCACACACACAATGTAACGGATGATAGACCAAACTTGAAATGTTAGTGATTTACCTTTTCAATATTGTCTGCAATAAACTTCGTGCACTGATCTTCTAGAAATGAAAGCTGAAATAATCTAGCAGTACGTAATCGTGATATTACATTATAAATGTTGAGGTAAGCAATCAACTGTAATCCACATGCCCTCTTCAAACCTGGGAGTAAATACATATCTGCTGCTAAAAGAACATCAATGATGTATTCTTGGGGTACCTACAATCATAAAATTTAAGTTTTATTACTTTCACTGGATGAAAGAACAAAAAAATATTTATCCACTACTTCTTTCATTCTACAAATATGAACACATCTGTGACCTGTACTTACTTGAACAAAATTAGTATAAATATAATATACTACTGCAGCAAACGCATGGACTGGAATATTTTTTATTGCTATCATAGGAGCACCACATTCTACATCAATTTCAGTTTCACTAAAATGATCCCGAAGCATTGCACCAAAATATTCACTACGACTACAAAAAAACACCTATAAAAATGAAAGTACAATGATAATGACCAACAAAAAGGAAGAAATATACTGATATCATAACTTTCACAATCACCAAAGTAACTAACTAAATAGAAATAAACCTTCACCTTGTGACACCAGAATTTGTGTTCTTCAATTGTGAAACAAAGGTCAACCAAATGCAATGGAACAGTTGGCATTAATGGCAATTCTGAAGCACATGCCCAAGTACGGAAGTCTTGAGGTACAGCTTGCAGACCCAACACTCCTAAGTCTTGTTGAACATCCATTAGAAGCTCCTCTGATTCCAGCATTAACATCTGAACATTTGTCCCTGGCTTTGTGCATTCTGAAAAAAAAAGAGAGAGAGAAAAAAAAACACGCTTACTGATACACTGAATACTAAATCTAGCAAAATGCATAGAATTCATTAATTAATGTTGCATTCAATATCTTTCAATACAAGTTCAATACAGTGAAACCTCTATGAAAGACGATCCCTGTCAAAGACATTTTTCTTTGAAAAGACACGGAAATCCATATAGTGTATGTAAATCGTACCCTTGTTAAAAGACCACTCCTCGGTCCCACCAACACCTTAATTTATCCCTTTTACGAGACCGCTTTCAAGAAAATTGTAAAAATTGAGTACACCTAATTTTCGGTGCCTAGTTGAAGTGGCCAGGCCCGAAACAGCATTTGCGCAATTTGCCCAGTGCCTGAGCTTCAATCCTCACAGGAATCGGTTCGGTCGGGGGCGGGGGACTCCAGGAATCGTGCACCGTGTAATATATCGTGGTCACTGCTCGCTCAAATTCAGTTTCATTTCTTCTAATGTGACGGTGGTCACATTTTTAATCCATTGAATTAACAGATATATCCTTACCTTCGTGGAAGGGCATCTGGTACAGTAAAATATAAATATCGAAAGTAGAGTTTATTGACTTGCGTTCGGATTTATCGAACCGGGAGAGTTAGGGTTGCGTGTGTGCCCGGACCCATCTTCAATATTGTACTTTTGCAATATTAACTATTTTGCATTTTCGAAAATACAGAAAGTTCGCCGATAAATGGGGCCAGCACCACTCTTACCATCCTTTGATACATTAAAGGGGAAAATTTAAAGAAACGAGTGTTGCTACAACAGCACGAACTTTCTTGCGATAGTGTTTGTTAATGGCTATGTAACATAATATGACAATTTCTGTCTTACACCTCAAGCACCATTCGAAAGGTCTTAAACGAATGTGAAAAATATTTGTATTAAATATATTTTTTATTAAATATAATATTTCTTTTAAATTCAAGGGCTAGTCCTACCTCTGCGAAGTGTCCTAAACCCTACCCCAATCCTAAATCCTCCCCAATTCTGGCCGCTGGTTAGTGACGCAGGAGCGCGTGGAGGCACGTACGCGAAAAGGCTGCGTGGCGGTCAAAAGACTGCAACGAGTCGTGACGGATAAGATAATGTTAATTAATGGAGGATTACTCCGAAAGCGCAAAGCGCTCAACGCCCTTCAAGGGGCTTGAAAACGCGTTACGTCTGTGTAGACGCAACATTAAAACAAATAAAAACTGAAAAAGCTTTCTGCCATTAATTCAGTGTATTCACTTTCTACCTAAATGCACAAAAGATTGACGATGCATATTTTGGACGTAAATAAAATTATAAGTTTATATTAACGTGAATGATCAACGGCCGTCAATATCGCATTTTCTGTTGTCAGTGCAGCATTACAACAATGGGTTGCAACAAGCAACAATGTCCGCTAATTCGTATGGGATACACATTTTGTAAATTAGCATTCTTAAAACTGCTATAAAAATGAAAATGGATAGAAAATTATAATAATTAAATATAATATTGTTATATGCATCAAAACTACAATTTTTTACACGCATTGCTCTTCATTCCCACATTTTATTACGCAAAACTAAATGATTTCGTTTCCACATTTAGCCCGACTAAAGGACGCAATTAAAATAGGCTTTAAATGACTTCTAAAAGATTAATTTGTAAACGTATAACAAAAGTTTGAACGTAAGAAACGAACAAATAAATGAAATATAACATACAAGTTCTAACTTACATAACATCTAACTGCCTGAAATCACCTCTATTATGTTCACGAAGCGCAGTTAACTCGGAGCGAGCGACGTATGTTTGTCGCCAAATTACACCAAAAAATGTTGTTTCCGAAAAATTCAACATGACCTTCGTTGAAGACATGTTTTTGATTAACACATTTCATTAGGAAAAAGTGTATCTTCACAATTGTTGATGTAGAAAGACGGCAAAAACTTTTTAATTTTTAATATTCTTCGAAAATCAAGAATTTCAACGAACACGAGACCCGCACCATTCTCTTGAGCGACATTTCGGCTACGATCTAAATTTAATAAAAAAAATTGTGCCGCTTTTAAGAAAAATTGTTTAAAAAAATTGCCCTTTTTGACACAAAATTTAACAAAAAAGACTGATTTTCGAAAAACTAAACATTATATTATATGCAAATCTGGTTTTGATTAACACATTTTATTAAGAAAAAAGACGATCTTCATAACTATAGTAGTAGGAAGACGAATTTCTTTTTTGAATTTTTGCAATTTTCGAAAATTTCAACGAACATAAGACCTGAATCATTCTCTTTATGCATCCTATGCTATCCGAGATCAAAATTTAATCAATATTTGTGTCATTGGGAGGGGGGGTGTTCAAACCAAATTAAAAATTGCCTCTATTTCACGGAAAATTACGCGAAAGTACTCTAATTTTAGAGTAAATGTACATGACCTTATTTCAAAATCTGTCTTTAGGGTCCGCTTTCATTAAGGGAAAAAATCCAATTTCATAACTGTAGTTGTAGGGGAAAAAATTGAATTTTCGCAATTTTCCAAAAATATGTTTTCATTGAAAATGAGACCTTCATCATTCTCATTAACGTCCTTCACACTATGCAATAACAAAATTTAATCAAAAACGATACAGCAATTTTTTAGAAATTTTTGAAAATGTCGCAGGGGCCAGCCCGAATTCAAATATCGGGTTCAAATTCAAGGGGCCGCATCATCAGCCAGATCGATTGGGGAAAAACAATTTTAGAGAAAATCGGCTGAAGCTTTAGACGCAAGCGTTGTTCACAAAATGACAGACGAATAGACGTTTTACCGTTAATAGATTTTTCAGTATCAAGGGCATGAAACAGAACATGAATTCTAGCTACACCATGTGTTAGGTGTTTTAACCTCTAAATTTAGCAACTGGATTTATCTACTTTTCCGTTACCAGGGCCATCTAATTAAAGTTATTCTGACGAAAATTCGCCGCTTTTACCCACAGCATTACATAACTTTCTACTTGTGAAGTACCTTATTACGGCGACTCTTATGGCGATAAAGTAAAAATTGATGAGAATGAGATTGGGGGAAAATGTTAAATAATTGCCTATAAAACGTTCAAAATTACGTAAAAATACTAATTTTCGAAAAATTGCACATGACCTTATTTCAAGAGTACATGATCTATCTTCAAAGAACAGATTTCTACATCCCATGCCGCTCGCTCGTCCGGTCCTGTTCGACCCCGCCCCGAGACACAAGGCAACGCCCAGCAAAAATGAAGTCCAGGTAGATTAGGAATTGCAATGAACTGAAGCGCCATCTTGTGCTGCAGAGCTGCCTGGTAGAGAGTTACAACAAAAAAAGAAGATCATAAATCCTTCTCCGTGAAAAATTCGAAAATATGCCAGTTTCATGGAGATCGGTCAAACTGTCGGAGTTTATCGATCTCAGACAAACCAACATTTAAATTCAGCACCCCCCCAAAACAATAAAAGCAGTGAGAAATAACTTTCTTAGTCCAGATACTATTTGGAGCACCAATGATTTGGTGCTCCAAATACTATTTGGAGCACTTCGCACAAAATTAAATCTTAAATTACTTTGATTTATGATTGCTAGAAAATAATTTCAACGTAATATTAACAACAATACTTTCCTAAAGGTAAAAGTTTTAAAATCTCAAATTAATTTCTAGCTTTGACACAATGGCATTGCTTCTACAAGCATATGCAAGTTAAGAAAATATAGTACATTAGAACTTATATGTTCAAGTTAACATAAGAACGGCAAGATAATCACACACAGACACATTCATAATGAATGTAGAGTTTGTATGCAACTCAAAAGACTTAAAACAACAATGACTTTGAGAGTAGCTTTGCTTCAGAAGAATATTCTGTGCCTATACTGCAAATTAAATTACCAATGTATGGCTTCTTTTAAGCTCCCAAAGCAGATAGGGGGGACAAATGTAGGACACACCCTTCACACAAATGTAAGACATAGGGAGAGGTGAATGAAGAAAAACCTTTGGTACATCAACAGTGCAAAATGAAGCCCAATTCATGCAGAAGTAGGTGAATCAGTGAATAGTGAAAGAGTGAACTTTTCAGTGAAAGTGAACTTTCAAGAAAAGTGAACTTAATTCAACATGGAAGTGCATCATAACAGTGCTAACATCGAATAAGAAAAAAAATTTTTAAAAAAATATGAAAAAAGGATCTTCTTTCAATTGTTCACTAATATGAAACAGAATAAAATTACACACACAACTCCAGTTTTCCCGGAGAATCAAAATCAACAGTGTTTAACAGAAAATGTACATTTTGAATAAGTTTGTGTGATGTCTGAGAATAAAACTCCTCTTGTGTTTTGGCCTCGTGTGGGTTTGAACCAACAGCAATCTTTACTTTGGGATTTTTATAATACTTCAGAGGATGAAATGAGTTCGACACCTCCAGACGAAGGAAGCGAGCCTGAGAGTGAAGCTCATATCTACTATGATCTCAAGGAAAGTAAGTATAAGACTGCTTAAAATACAAGACTTTTTGGAAAAAAACCTTGGAAAGTCATTATCACCCAATTTGTCAGTACAACTGTTTCAAGCCTCCAAAAATCCCTTTACTTTCTCATCTAGGTTGTATGAAGCATTGTGCTACTTGGGTAAATATTCAGACTTCATATTTTCATGATAAACTGCTTTTTAGCTTGTTATTAGTTTCTCTATTTCCAGTATAGTCCCAGTATTCCCAGTAATATCTGTCTTTGCATACATACTCTTCATCTCTCAATCTTGCATAATTTCCTTTTGTGAAAAATGAAAGCTTCATTCTATTTGTTCCCAAAGTTTGAATTTCACCATTTCTTCCTCTTGTGCTTTAGTAAATATGAGAGGTTTCCATTTTCGAGTTATGTCATACGATATATTTTCTATTATTGATCAGGTCTTACATTCTAAATTTTATATTTTCGTAAATCACTGTCGAATGTGCTTAATAAAGCAGTAAA